TCTTGTGATTTTTTTTTTCCAAGAAGTTTCATGAAGCTGTAATTTATCTTCATCTGATTATGCATCTTCCTGTTTTGATCCGTTTTTCAGACTGAACAGCCTATTCAGGTTAAAGTGACCACTGAGCATAGTAATAAATGCTCCTTGTGACTGAAACCAAACCTAAACCATTCACTCTTAATTAACCAACTTTCATCTATGAAAGATGTGAAAAGTGGAGGCTGGAAATCACCTTTTCATGTGAAGAAGACAGCGACTTCACGCAGATTTATTTCTAGGCCTCTATCTTAAAAAAAGAGGACATGACCAGAAGTTATTATGAATTGTGAAGCTGGTATGATGATTAAGTGAAAGGCTACAAAAGGTCAGAGTTTCACAATTTAAAAATGCTTTAAATTTGGGGGGGACATTAGTTATTCTCTTTATTCAGTCTAAATGCTCCCTTTCCATGCTGTAGCAGCTAATTTGAGAAACGATTGATTACTTATTCTTCCAAATCGGGGAAACTGATTCACGTAAAAAGTGAAAACTATATATTTTTATCAAAAAGTTGCATTGTTGAACAAAGTCACTCACAAACAGTGGGTCAAAGTAAATGTGTTTGCTATAGGAAACCAAATCTGTCTTTTAGCTATTATCCTGACATTATCTATGCATGGGTCAGTGACGCAGCATCTAATCCATCTGTCGTTATCTCTTTCTCATTTGCTTGTAGTTTTTGGAATCTCTCTCATTTTCACCCTCCCCTCTCCTCTTAGCCTGTCTTTATGCACACACAGACACACATGCATGCCTCATGTAAGTAGGATTAAAGATCAAGGTGATTAATTGTCATTACATGCATTCACTGTATGGCTGCGCATGCTGCAAAGGGTCAACTGACTGACCCCTCCCAACTTTTCGCTGTTTCAAGCAGTTTAAATCTCAGTGTTTAAATCAATTACAGCCCTTCAGGTGCAAACACAGTGGCGATAAAACAGGGTCAGTCAATCAGCAATGTCCGGCCAAAGAACTACTTGCAAACGAGTCAGGCTATTGTGAAGCATGACAAACCGCTGATTCTCTGCTCTAAACATGTCTTGACAGGTGGTTTTTAATCTCAGATTCTGCTTTCATAACTTAGACTACCTTAACTCATAGCTGTAGACTCTTCAAAATACACAAAAACACAGATTGGTGCATAAAATGACATTTTAGTTAAAATAAATTGGAACCTGTCATTTGAAACTGAAACAAGTGAAATCATTTTAATCCAACCCAGGTTTTTTAAGAGGACCCCATTTTAGGACAGAAATACTTGTTTTAAAATTGACTACAATGTGTCTTATCTGGCTGCAAAAGAAAAACACTCCAGTTCCACGTAACAGCTGAAAGACAGCGTGCCCTACCTTGGAGTTTTACCAGCTTGTGTCACTGTTAGCATCAGAACAGGGAGGTTTACATGACCAAGTGCTGCTGTGACAATCAGACAAGGTTCAAGGGTTTGATGTAAGAGTCGTCTTTTAAACTATATCACTCTCATTCCCAAGTCGTCAAATATTGACGCTTTGTCTAAGACGCTGGGAGATATTTGTAAGGTAGGCTATTAACCGAACAACTGCTATGACCAGCTTGACTTCAGCAGTATTGGATGAGCTGAGCTTTGACAATCCCTGTGGAGAGCTGAGGCACGACACAGATTTTCACAGGAAAAGCGTAGGACTTTTTCTGGTTATTTCCTGACATACTGTATGATAGGTGAACTGGAATTGTGTTCTGTCAGTTTTGAATGGAGGAGGCTCCGGATACATGATGTTACCAGCATCACCATAGCAATAAGTGCTTTAAAGTTATGTTAAATGTTAGGTTAGATGATGTTTTGTTGTATCACTGGGCCCTGCAGTGGGTATCAGTCCAGGCTGTTTCAAATCTGCTGGGCCTTATGAGAGCCCTGACCTACTGTACCTTTAGACTGACCTAATATATTTTAAAACTGCTTTTAACTCCCACCATCACCCAAGCAAAGAGTAAATAAAAGTCATAAAGTCATATGATGTAGAAAACAAGGACTGTAACCATGGGACAATCTAGACGTGTGGAGACATGCTCATGATACAATAGGCAACTTTAGATGCCCTGCCCTCAGTGATCCTTGGGGCAATTTTATAATTTTATCAAGTAAAATTTATGTTGAGAAAAAGCATAGCATGCAGTGGCTTCAACACGGATGTACTGAACAAGACATAGTTTTATTAAAGTCAAGTCTGAGCACTGTGGAGCAATGATATTAGCTTCTGAAAGTAAAGTCTCATATACTATATAGACATGCTCAAACAATGAAACTTGTGAAAACAACATATACTAATAATAAATAGAATGGACTAGACAATAACACCGGGGGTCAACTATGCACATAAGCAATAAAAAAATAGGAACAATGGGAGTTGACAGCATGCTGATAGCTTATAGCTGACTTTAATATAATGTGTATGAAAGGGGCCTGACCGATTTTGAGTTCTTGAATGTTATTTCACATTTGCACTGATACATTTCTTTAAAGGATTGGTTCACATGTGACCAGATCTGTCTGGAAACAGTCCTCTCACAGCCATGGGCTAGAGTTGCTGGATAGTGTTATCGTTCCTTCTCTCCATGCTGAAGAGATCCCTGACTAGTGCAATTTTAACAAAAGAAATAAGGGACAAAATCCACATTTTTTTGTTCAAGATAAATTTAAGCTGACACCAACAAAGCAGGGTTAGACTAATCAATGGAGTATCTTCCAGGGTCCATCTTTTTGTAAAAGATTTCCCCATGTCACCAGACAGCAGTCAATCTTCTAGCCAGCACAGCTGCATTTTGACAGAATTTAAAGAAAGTCAGCCAAAAAAAAGAAAGAACAGAGATGCTGGTAATGAACGAATGAAACAAGAATACCTGAATGATTGAGTGAACTTGTCAAACAAGTAATAACTCTCTGCTCTGGTCCCATTAATGGTTTAGTGGCACAGAAATCAGAGGGTGCAAAGAGATAAAATGTTTAAATGAACAGTGGAAAACATGATGGAAGTATGATTGTTATGAATTTGAGGAATGCTGCAGCTTCCTCATCACTCCACAAAGATCTAATGGTTTTGCTTCTTCACTGGAGCATGAAGGTTGATTGGCATTTAAGCCGCGTGCATAATGGATAAATGCTGCCATTGCACTTGTAACTTTTTGTTTTTAATCAATGTTTGTTGATATTTCTACTTTTTTAAAAGTGTTTCTGTACAAATTAAACATGCACATAAACAGGAGGATGTTCAGGTGTTGCAGAGGAGTGGTAACAAAAAGAGAGAGTTTACAGGTTCAGGTGTTGCAGAGTGGTAACAAAAAGAGAGAGTTTACACTAACAATGCAGTGAATTTGGAAGATAACCACTTAATTTGTCTAACACATACAAATAATATTTCTTGGCATTTTGGGTGGGTGAGTTTTGCATACAACCAACCACACAAATTCTCTCTCTTTTTCTCTCTCTCTCTACATTTACTTTCTTATTTCTGAATTTCACTGTATGCTTAAAAGGTGAGTAATGAAGACTGATGACATATACAGGCAATGTTCATCCAGTTTTCAGTGTAAAAACATGCACATTAAATCAGATATGTATTGATATGGTTGTTTAGTTGCCTAAAGATGTTGCAGGATTGTTTCTGTGTGAAGGATAAAAAACTAAATATAGAATAAAATAGTTTAACAATGTTACCTCTGGGAAACCTCACTAACTTTTACAAATATCACTGATCCACATTTAAAAGGTACATCAGTCATGGTGAGAGCAGGATGTTTTGGAGAAACGATAAAAAAAAAGTAATTAGAGCATCAAGAATAGGCAGGAAATGGTAGGAGGCCAATGATGCAGACTGTAGTTTACAAATGGAAACCAGATGAATCATTCACTTATGTTTTCTCTGTTAGGAAAAATGTCAGTCTGGTGGCCAGTCACTCTGCATATCACCTCAGCATGGCATCTGTATCCCGGTTGCCATGGCAATGCCGTTGCTATGAGATCAATTTATCTGGAGATCTGGCAGTTGCAGATGTCACTGGGTGCTTCTCTCAGTAATACAGCTTTAGTCAAATTACAGACAGTTTGGGCTCACACTTACATCTTACTCTGACCCCAGCTGACAAAAAACAAGGACAGAAAACTTCAGTAGACTATCAGACAATTTAGATACCTTATCTTTATCTACTGTAGTTTACTGCTGAGTGGCATCTTCCCTCTTTTTAATCATTCTTCCCAAAATACCAAACCAAATGTAAACTGTAAAGTGCTGGGTACACCAAGCGAATACCATAAGATGCCAGTCAGGATCAAAGTGCAGCCTGACAGTCAGCCCTCCCCTCCAGCCTCTCTTTTATTTCTAACCCTCCTCTACTTTGGAGCCTCGGTGCCACACGGTACAGTGAGGCCCCTGCATGACGCATGTCTCTGCACCTCTGATGTGTAGAGCTGTGCAGAAGTGGGAATACCATCTATTTGCTTTCTTGTAGTTAATACCTCTGAGCAGCATATAAAAATCTGCTTATTGCTTTTTTTGCATTCATCACAACGTGGAGGCTAAACTCTGTCAAGTCATCACAGCACCAGCCTAGGAATAAAACGGTGGTCCACGCAAGTCCTTATTAACTTTTGACTACATTAAGAGTTCAGGAAGTATATAAAAACAGTATATAGCTAACTAAAGTACCATGCATGGCTGCACACAGATGGAGCCAAGTTCCTGATGACCTTACATGTGCCCCAACCCACTTCCAAGTCTAAACTGGAACCTCTGCTGTTTTCCTGTGCCTTTGATTGACTGGTTTCTATGCTGCAATTTCTGCACTGTAACTGCTAGATAATCATGTTACAGACCTTTAAATGACTGTTTTCTTCATTTTATGTATTTTATCTTCATTTTGTCTTGTTTTTATGCAGGTTTTAATGCTTATTGTT